TTTACATGATATTATTTTGCATAGACCAATTGATTTTCAAAAAACAAAATTTTCTGTTTTGAGATGTTATAATGAAAATGGTACCTTTTTTAAATGTAAAGTTGACATACCTGTTTATTAAGAACATTGAAACCATTCATTAATCTAGATAGTTTTCAGCCTTTATTAGGCCATCATCTGCTATTGAAGAATAAAATACATTTGAATCTCAGATTGGAACAGTACAGAATTGACTACATTTTTAGATTAAACCAATCAAGCAGAACTTTATAGCATATTAACAATTAACATATTAAATACATATATAATCTTTGATTCATCAAATAAATTTGTTATACTACAGAAATTTATAGAATTCTGAATTGAGTGGCATCCTGGATGTTAATACATTGGTGTATATTCATATTTTCTTTAAATATATCTATTCTAGCAGATGGATTGGAGAAAGTTCTCTTAGTTCACATATTAGAAGAGGATTTTTTTAAGTAATGCTGAATTTAGTGTTGTATACTCATTGTGTATTTTGATACAATGGGTATAAAACACTAAAAAAATATAAACAATTATACAGTGTAACCTCGCTTAATGAGCATAATTCGTTTCAGAATCTTACTCGTAATGTGAAACACTCGTTAAGCAAAACAATTTTTTTCATATAAATTAATTTAAAATATGATAATGCATTCCATGCTGAAAAAATACTCAAATATTTTATGTATAACATTTATTCAAAGAAAATTATGCAATATACATTGTTAAGGAGTATGAATCATCATCATCATCTTTTCTTCAAGCATGGAATGAACCAATCTGGAATGCAAATTTAATTTGCAGAAAACAAAAAAAAAACTGAAATTTAATTTGGAATTGGTCATTAAATTTAATACAAGATGGCAGCATAAGTTACCTCTACTCAAATTATTTAATTTCTAATATTTAATTATAACCTTTACATAGCCCAAGAATATCGCATATCGTTTGGTGTGTTTATTATATAATGGGCTATGGTTATTGATGTTTATGCATAATATGTCTGAACACAAGTTTGGAAAAATGTNCCAAGAATATCGCATATCGTTTGGTGTGTTTATTATATAATGGGCTATGGTTATTGATGTTTATGCATAATATGTCTGAACACAAGTTTGGAAAAATGTTTGATCATAAGCGACACTAAGATGCTAGTGGAACGAGTGCTAAACACAGACTAATGTAGCATGCGCACAATCTGGACTTCCCCTCTTCTCGGCACTCGTTATGCAAAACGTCACTCATTAAGCGAGTCATTTTTTTTTACAATTTGTTTTGCTTGTTATGTGAATTATTTGTTATGAGAGGTGCTTGTTAAGCAAGATTCCACTGTATTATTAATACAAAGTAAAGGTGGTTACTATTATTATTATTAATTGTAGCATAATGGTTTTTAAGGCAAATGTCTAATGAATTAATTATAGAACCTATATGATTATTCACCATGATTAATGACTGCTGCTTTGACACAATGCATGTATGATAATAAAGTCAAGGTTTCTAAGAAAACATTGTCCAATCATCTGTTTGAACAGATTACTGTACATTTAAAGAAAATATGAATATAACTCTCTCTGAAGGTTTCCCATTTTGTATCTCCTATTGCTGAGACAGAGATACTCATTTTATAATGATGTTATAAAAGTGATTCTTACCACTGGATGGATCCCAGAGTCCATTTAATGTTCCAATTTCTGTATACAGTAACTAAGCCAAATGATTACTTTAATGAATTAGGCTACTTTATCACTACTATTAATACTATAAATTCTAAGTAATTCGGTACTAGAGGTAGACATTAGGCACCATCTCTTATTAAATTTAAATGTCTCTAGTACTAAATTACTTATAATTTATATTATTAATAGTAGCAATTAAAGTAGCTTGATTAATTATGGCAATTGTTTGACTTTGAATAAAAAACATTTGGCTTTGAGATGTTTATATCCTATATAACTACCTCCTCTGTGTCTTTAATTTTACTAATATTCTGCATATTTAGGCACATGATCTGATCCACAATCTATACTAGGTCTCATCTTAGTTTTATATGTCATAGCATTGGCCAACAAAGCAGTTTCCAAGATGGCAACTCTAGATGACATGATGGGATAGTTCTTTGAGTAAAAGGGAATTAACTATAATTTTTTGAGGGTAGTGTTGCAATATTAACTTTATGTGAAATAAGATTACAAATTTATTTTGTAGTATGCAATAAAAGCATGCATATCCACATGTAAATGGAGAATTTTCAGGTTTCTTTTGAAAGATTGATTCTGGATTTCCCATTCTTAAGTTTCATGTTTATTAATTAATGAATATACCATGCTTGTAATGTAAATTGTTAAGTTTTCTAAAATAAAGTAAACTGTAGAAAGTGTTCAAAAAAATTGGAATTGGGAGTTTTTGGCAGAATCAGGAGAAACTTTGGTATTGTCCCATCAGAAAAACACTTGCAGAAAACTGGATATCAATGACTCTACATCTTATATACTTTTTCAGCAATATTTTAATTAAAACAAACATTTTAGACTAGACTTAATGTTGGTTAATGATGTGCAATTTATTTTATTTTTAATTTATGTTTTCATTTTAATACATAAATTATTTGTTTGTCAAAATTTGTAACACATAAGTCATTAGTTTTCAAATGTTTTCAAGTTTACAACATTTGAAAACTAATGACTTGTGTTACAAATTTTGACAAACAAATAATTATACATTTTTAACCTGAGGCAGACATCTAAATGGGGTTGAAAACATTTGTTTTAATTAAAATATTGCTGGAAAAGTATATAAGCTATAGAGTTATTGGTATATTGTCTCAATACTAGCATTTTGTGTAAATATTGCATCAGCAGATATATAAACTACACATCTCATAACCTCCCTCTCTGACTCAGAACACTAGTATGATATGCAGAAAGCAAAGTGCACAACAGCATTAGTCGTCATGCTCATTACACCAGAGAACACCTTCCATTTTTATGATTTAAAATTCTTCAGGATTGCTAGAGACCAGATTATAGGGGAAACCATTGTAAAGTTAATCATATTCAGGCACACCAAGAACAGTCTCTATATAAACAACAAAAATGTATGGTGTTATTTTTTGGCCTGGAAATATTGGGTTGAACTGAAAGTTTATTTGGGTTTTAGAGAGAGATAAAATACACTATTTTGGAATAAATAAAAGCTTTTAATCCACAATTTGTTCATTCTTTTGTTCTATAATTTTATGCCATTTGATGGATAGTTTCATAATTCTATCTTTGTAGAATTGGGTGGGTTTCTGATTGAAGAAATTATCAATGCAGTTTTTGATACCTTCTAAAGATTGAAATTCTATACCATTTACATTATTTTGCAATGAATGAAAAAGATGATAGTCTGAGAAAGCAATATTCAGAGAATATGGAGGGTGACTCAAAACAGCCCAGTTAAAGTCTAGAAGTTTTTGGTGCAGCTCCCCATCAATTTGCAAGTTTCAGACTTTTTTGATACATACAGCCTTCAGTTCATCCAGTTGGAAACAATATTTATTGGAATTAATTGTTTGGTTGTTGTGTAAAAGCTTGTAATAAAGAATCTTTTTCCAATCCCACCAAACTGAAGTCATTACTTTTCTGGGATGCAAACCAGCTTTAGATTGTGGCACTGGCTGAGATCTCTTGCTGAATATTGTTGTAAACAATCCATTTTTCATTGCCTCTTATTAATCGCTTTAAAAATGGATTATCTTCGTTCTGTTTTAAAAATGAGTCACAATCAGAAACACACTCAATAAGGTTTCATTCACTTAACTGATGGGGAACCCTAACATCATAGTGGGAAATGTATCCAAAGATTGCCAAATGTCTGACAATGGATGTTTGGGATAATTTTAAGTTTTTGGCTATCTCTCATGTTGTTCTATACTGATCATTTTGGATTAAAGCAATTATGAACTCATCTTCTATGGTTGAGTGTCGTCTTGATTGAGGTGCATCTTTGAGAGAAAAATAACCTGACCTAAATTTTGCAAACCATTTCTGGCATGCTGATTCAGTAACTGCATCCTCCTCATATAATGCACAGAGTTTCTTTTCAGTTTTTGCTGCATTTCTTCCTTTTCAGAACTAGAGCATAATATGTCAAAAATGTACCTAGTTATCTTTCATTTTAATGTTTTTTTTTTTTTTCTTAAAAGATAACTGAATTCTAAAAAATAACTAATTTGACTTACATATTAAATATACAAATATTTGAAATGCCGACCCTAAGCAAGTTAAAACTTGATCACGACAGGCAACACAAACGAGTGATTATGTAAATACCCGAATGAACTTTCAGTTCAACTTTATACATATTTTAAGTATTGTGTATAAATACAGCAGAGATGAACTTCATAATACATCCAAACTCCAGCACAAAATAAAATGTTTGAAGTGTTAAATGTTTTTAGTATTTTTAAGCCATCATCTTAAGGTTCTATAGTCTTTTGAATGTAGAACAATGTAAAAGAATATTTTTAATTTCCTAAATCAAAATATTCTTTGTTCTTTTATTTTCAAAATAGAACAAAAACAATTGGTTTTCTATTTTGGTTTCTATTTCTTTTATTTTATTGTGTCGTATTTTATTTATTTGTAATTCTTCTTATGATGATGATATATATTTAACTTAAATCCTTGCTTTATATATTAATTCAAATTACACATTTTACATTTTATTCCTTTTCTGTTGGATCCTGAAGATGGCTGATTTAACAACCATCTTCAGGATCCAGCAGAAAAATTCAATTAATAAATAATTTTGCTGGTTGAGGGTTGAATTCTATGTATTTTTATTTGAATAGCTACTATTTTTCCATGCTGACTTGTAACATTTTTATTCTTAGATATTATATTAGTCAATTATCTTTTTTAAACAAATAAAAAGTCCAAAGTAATCAAAGAAGAATTTTTGACATTAATATTTTTTTATTGTAGGGAGCATATCAAAAGCATCATTTACATATAAATCCTTCATTGGGTTCTTATAGAGGTGGATCACTTCCAAATGTTAATCAGATTGGAAATAATAGCATTGATTTACAGGTAAGAATATATTTATTCATTAGTTTAAACTAAAATTTTTTTAATGATTTTGATTATTAATTTTTATTTAATTTTTTGCATGGCAACATATTATTCCTGTTTGATCAATCCAATGTTGTGAATTGTATGAGTACACAGGTTTATGATTAAGCTAAAAGGTGAAATGATTACAGAATTGAAAAAGAAAGTAAAGGAAAAATGTGATATTGCTAAAGCATATATAATACTGCCAAACATTAGAACTTTAAAAAAAATATATATAGTTTTCAAAAATGGATAATTTGAATTTTTGATATGATAGTTTTTAATTTTTATTGATGTTTAAAAAGATTCAACTATATTAAGAAATGAACAAATATACTTTTAAGTTTTATCAGCATAAAAATTAATTCAATAATAATACAGTAAGATCCCGCTTAATGCTGTTCCACTTAACATTGTTTGTTTCAGTATTTAGCGATAGTATTGGGATTCCCCAAAATCATGCATGATTTTGTTGCTTTGATATTTGCATGCAGTCTCCTGGCACATATCAAAGCAGTATGAATGCATGTTTGCTGCGTGACAGTTGATTTATGATCGGTCAATGTTATTGTGTGTATAAAGATATAAACATAATATTTTATTTTATTGTGATAAATATGGCAATTTTTAGTTTTTACAATGGGTGATTACAAAGAAAAAGAAAGTAAAGCAACAAGAAAAAGTATTTTGCAGAAACTAAAATGCAGGTGCTCAGATGATTAGATGCTGGTGAATGGCAATCTGATATCAGCACTGCATTAAATTTGTCAACTTCAACATTATGGACAATTTTAAAAAAATAAAGAAAAAAAATTGTATCATCAGCATCTACAACCATGACTTCTGCAATAAAAATTACCCATTCCAGAAGCAATATGTTTGAGGAAATAGATAAACAACTTTCCATCTCGATTGATGATGAAGTTGAATGCAATATGCCAGACATGGACAAATGCGGCTCTTTTTGAGTTACATGCAGCTCTTGCTGAAAGTGTTAATTTCTGCTTTTTATTATTATTTTTACAATTTTATTTCCACAATTTTGTGAAAATATGTTTATTAAAAGAATTCAATATTTGTTTTATATTATAAAACAAATATGTTGTGTTTTTATTTATGAGGAAGACGTTGAACACAAATTTTTATTTCCAACTCCAATTGTATGACTTGTGCTTTTTTAAGTATCAATAATTTGCCAGTGATTCGATCTGCATCCTTACGGTTGTTTTTAAGTACATCAAGGATTACTGTAATGTGTTCTCCTACTGTGATTAAATCCATGGTCTTTGCTTGTAAGGTGTTAACTACTGATTCCAATACTGCTGAGTATTTTGTTCTAGTAATTAAGGCAACGATGAACAATTGTTTTTGTAACCTCTGAATGCAACTGGTATGCAGATTTTCTTGTGACATAATCCTCTGTAGGTAATTTACTTGTGCTTTCTCAAGCTCAGAAATTTTGAGAAAGTTTTTGAATTGATTTATACTTCTCTGACCATCTTGTTTCACAATTTGTGATAGATTTGGAGTGCAATTCTTATGAGCAGTCAATTCTCTGAAAAAGTTTATTGTATTTGTTATAGTGGCAATAGTATTTCTAATTTCTGTTATCTCATTTGCATTGTTCATCACAAGATTGAATTTGTAGCTTGAACAGTGAAAATATAATGCTCGAGAATATTTCTTCCTTAAAATCGCTTGTACACCACCCTTTTTGCCTGCCATTGTAGAGCAGCCATTGAAACCAAATCCAATGCATTATTCTGGTGGAAGATTATAACTAACCAAAAAATTGTCAATTGCTTTTGCAATTGATGATGCATCTTGTGCTTTTAGTTCCACAAAATCTACAAATTCTACAAATTCTTCTCGCATTTTTCCTTTGACTTTAATGTAGAGTTGCAAGCCAATTGATAGCTGTTCTTTCCCAGCTCTGTCTGCTGTTTTGTCAGCTAAGGCTGTGTAAGCCATAGTTTTTTAATATCGCTTAATACTTTCTCCCTAATAACTTCACCATATAAACCTATTACAGTAGAGCATTGATTATCCAAATCAATTGGGGACTGGGGTTGTTCAGAAAATTGATTTTTTGGATAACTGATTATGTACGAAAAAATATATTAACCTATCCCATGTTGAAATTCGTTCAAATCCTGGCACGTCCTTAAGTATCCTCTCATGCTTGTGCCATTGCTGCCAGTTAAAACATGTACACCAACAAAAATAATATTGGAGTAGCCAAGACATAATCAAAGATTGTAGTCCCACAGCACTAGTGGAAATTTAAATTTGCTGACTGGAAAGCTTTCGGTTAATTGACGTTTCAGTTTATCAATATTCGGATAATCAATGCTCTACTGTAACTCATTTTGTATTTTTGTGAATGTGTAAACTTCATTATGGTGACATTTTTCCAGATGAGTCTTCAATTTTTTTTGCCAGAATCTATTTGTAAATTCAACAAAGCAAATAAAACTCCTCCATCAGCTTCTTTTCCCCTAAGAGGCACGTCATGTGTGCCACAAAATATTATACAGGAAATAATTGATAACAATATTTGCCTGTTTTCTTTGATTGTTTTTTGGTGACAACTTTGCAGTTGAATGTCCATGGGTACATTTTCACGAAAAGCCTTTGCAAAAGCTGTTGCAGTTTGGTAGAAGTTGGTGGTTACATGTTTGCAGCAGCAGTCTTCATGCATATTCTTGAATTTTGTGAATGATCCCAAAACTCCTCTAACAGTGTCAACAACAGAAGGGAACAACACACAGTGCTTTGCTTTCAAAGAACCCATTTCAGCTGCTTGGAATATACTAGCCACAGTACATATTGATCTAACCAAGCATGATTGAATGTTTTTTGCAAATGGCTCACATCAGTTTCAAAATCATAATTCCTTGGCAGAACCCAGGAATTTTGTAACAATTCCTTCTTCTTTGCCACTGATAGCTGAGTAGCTAGCCAAGCGTAACAACCCAGATTGTTTTGTGGTAGCCATCATTCGTTTCAATTTCGGGATTGACTGCACAAGCTTGTTCAAATGTTGATTGATAAGAATTGGCAGAGGCAGCTATGTTCATGGTTGCTGCTGGTGCTGGAAATTTGATGGTTGTCCGATGTCACCTTTAGATGATCGTGGCACTCCAGTTTTGTCATGATTATTATCACTTTTGCTGCTACTGTCTTGATCTTTATTCCTCTTTTGAACAGTAGTTTCTTAAAAAAATGACACAAAATTCACTTCCAGTTTATTTAGGTATAGAAATCATGGAATAAAAATAGAGTTAAGGTAGGTTATCAGAAAGATACATCACGAGAATGTAATTCACCTTTTTGAAAAAATTTCCTGATATCCATTGATGCTGACAATAAATTCATGTCATGACTACAGCAGGTTTGCAAGGTCTGTACTTATTATCTATCAGAACACAATATGATTAATATTAATTACTACCACCGTTGGCTCCAAAGGGAAAATGCAAATTGGAATTACAATTCATTTACAATTACTACTAAATACTACACTACTAAACTTCTCATCAAATTGTATGACTGTTTACTTATTAAGAACTTATTACTCATCGCAACTGAATAACACACTGGTAAACTGATGCCCCAGTCTGGTCTTTTATACTACAAGTGAGTGGGCTAGAAAGGTCTGGAACTATCTCATGTATTACATGTTGCTACTAGAACATTTCAGAATCTAGAGCCATCTGGCATCTTTGAGTGCAAGAATAGCAGTGAACAATAATAGTTCTAAGATTTCATGACAGATGGCTCTAGTCTAGTGACAATATTCATTATTCAAACTGATACTAAATTGATATATTTGTGCTGTATGTATGTATGTATGTCTGTCTGTCTCTCAATTACTACACATTAATTTGCCTTCTAGGGGGACAGCTGTCCCTTCCTGCCCCTTGCTAAGTATGCCCTTGAACTTAACATAACCAGTCAATTAAGATGGACAACAAGTACTTTATCTACATTTCCCTAAATATTATGTTTTAACTCAGTGTTTCTCAACCTCTAACGAATCGTCGCCCCCTTCACTTCAAAATTCCGATGCCGAGGACCAAGACTAACGCCAAATTCGTACTGCATTGAATAGACTAGTGACTAGTATAATGTTATTTGTTCAATTATTGTACTATATAACGAATAAAATATGTAATTATTCTTAATATAATGTTTTACTATATCGCCCAGAAAATTGTTTTTCGCCCCTCAAAATATAAATTGTTACTAATCGCCCCTCAAAATATAAATTGTTACTAATCGCCCTTCAACATGGAAAAACGCCCACATGGGGGCGATATTGTTCCTGTTGAGAAACACTGTTTTAACTGATTTGATTTTTAATTTAAATTAATTAATTTTGATTTTAATTTTAGTTTTGGTTTGTGTAAAGACAGTGTTTTAAATTTAAATTAAATTTCTTTAAATGTAATTGTTATTTTTAGTTTTAATTAATTGGCTACCTAATTGCATATAAATATGGACAAATACTCAGTGCATCGATACTCTCTCCAAAGACGGGCTGAACACGCCAGCTTATCGGATTTTCCGCCATACCTGGTGCCAATTTTTACTGTATTTGGATCTATTTGGCCACAAAGTATTAGGCCAAATACTAAACATACATGTATTCAATATTTAGACCAAATACTTCCTCAATTTCTATTGTTTACAATTTGATCTCATTTTAGTTTTGGGAAAGAGAGCAAAAAAAAAAGGAAAGTGAAACACAAAACAGAATTAAAAGAAAACTTAAAAACTTGGATATTTAAAAATATTGTTATTTATTTCTTTCTGAAGCAAATATAACTTTAAGAAATAATCTTGTGCAAATATTATTTATTAAAACTTAAATTTCATGCAGATTCTGAAATTCTTGTGGCAGAAGCCAGTCGTGGCATGATGTTGAAATCCATCTTTAGCCAGTAATAAATAATTAATGTGGATTTATTTTTATTGAGTATCATCATTTTTTATTTTTGCATGAATTCTGAAGTTTCATCGCTGCTTGTGAGGTGGTGTCAAAGTCAATAATGTTGAATAATAGTATTTTTTGCTATTATTTGCAAATTTTATAAACGTTTACAATGAGTGCTTAAAAAATGCATCCAAAACATTATAGTAAATCAAATAGTGGAGATAAATGCAAGAAGTGTGGCATTATTACTATGGAAACTAAGCTTAACATAAAACTAAATGTGTTAGGTAAAAAAAATCTGAAACAATCATTAGTAAGCATTAGCGAGCAGGTAAATGGGTAAAGTGATAGCTGGCTGAGTGCCATATTGGGAATTATAGGCTATGGATACTGAAGTTGCTCCAGTTGGCACTGTGAGTAACCAGTATGGTTACATCAAAATTAATCGTTTTGGAAGTGAAGATCAGACAGAGGTCTGGATGGCATAACTGGCAATGTGTCCACACAGAATGTGGGAGTTGCAGGTTTAACTTTCACTTTGGGCTGATTCTTTTCTTCCAGAACCTTCTAAATTAATTATTAAATATTAATTTAATTATAATTATTAAATTTATCAAACGATGACTCCTAACACCTACCTCTACCTCAAAGTCAAATTACTTCACATTACATTAATGCTACTAATTACTAATTAAATCTGGCAGCCATTTGCCTATAATTTAAGAATTGGGTTTATAGATCTTTATTTTGTATAAAGAGAGGTAACATAAATGGTTTGCTACAGGACTGTGGAATTTGAAGCTAATTCATTTGCTAGAGGAGTTGGAGTTGATAAAAATGGAACTACTATGACTCCTGTTTTTTATTATTTGCTTCATATTAAATTCCTAATAGGAGTGCTAACCTTGTATCTTGCATTGTAGGAGCCTACTGTAATGGAGGATTTTATTTTATGATGATTCCCCTACTTCATGATTTTTCTTTACATATCACTAATTACTGTTGACTTTCTTTTTAGAAATTTATATTTGAATACATTCTGTATTAGCCAATTCTAAATTTTTATTGTCAAGTGACTCATATAAAATGGCTGAGAAGGCATAGGTTAAATCTAGTGTTTTTGAATACCCTAGTATAACCACAGATGAAAATATTTTGTGTGTAAAGTTATGGTTGAAGATGATACTGGTGATAAAAATTGTGAAGAAAAAGATAAGTACTTTCAGTTTTAATAGGAATGCCTGATGATTCACTTAAAAAATGCTTAAAAAGTATTCTGATGATTCACTTGGTAGTGATGAAATGCCATCCTGGGTTAATATAATCAAAGTATATTTTAAATTCTTATTTAGAAGCAAGAGTTGGAATCAGAGTTAAGACTTTCTAAAGTTCCATGAGTCAGAATCAGCAGCTTGGTCTACTGATTCCACGGTCCTAGTGTTCAATGCAACACTTTTTTTCCATGTTAATTTTTTGGCAAATTAGACAATGAAAATTATAGCCAAATCTGAGATGTTGCCATTTGGAAAAACTACTGGAAGCTTAGTCCAAACATATTTAACATACAACACCAGTCAGTTTAAAGATATTAGCATTATGTAATGTTTTTGTAAACTCTCTCCATCCTTTGTAATACATTGTAATAATTACCTGCATATTCACTCACTCATATGTAATTTATGCGTAGCTCTCTTGTTTAAAAAAAAATTGTTTTTGAAAACTGATATTATTTTTAGTTGTGTATTAATAAATAAATAAATGCTTGAATAATCTAATGATCAAATAATGCAGTTGTTCCCAAACTTTTTGATTTTTGGCACCCTTGCTAAATCCAGATTTTTTCAAGGTGCCCCAATGTCAAATTTTAACAAGTACAATTGGTGAAATAGCCAATATTTTTTTAAATTAAAAATTAATGATTTGCACCAGGTCTGCTAGATATCGCATCACATTGAATTGAAAGTGAAAGTAAAATTAGAAAAATTTTATATTATTTTGCAACGTAACTGTGAGGAAGTTGCAGCGCCCTAGGGAGCTGTGGTGCACACTTTGGGAACTGCTGAAATAATGCTTAATTGAAAATAAAGGCCTTAATTTTTCTATAGCCATTCTTAACTCATTATTTTTTTCTGTGCTTAGATACATTATATATGTCAGTTATATAGTATTTATTTATTTTTAATTTTAATATTGTAGAGTGCATTGAACAGCTTAGAAGATATGAAACAAGGTAGAGAAACTCTTACTGAAAGAGTACCTCGTGAACGTGGCAGGCATGCTACACCACATCGTAATCGTCAGTTTCCATTTGAGAAAAGGGTATGGCATGTAATTTATTTTTCTTTTACCTTTAATAAAAATTTAGCTAAGTTTTTCAACTTTGAGATATCTTATTTATTTGTACTTAATTGTTTATTGAATTGTAAATATTCAAGATTTTTTCTGACAGTTATCAGGTTATAATTTAATTATTAAAATTAATTACAAAAAACCTTAAATCTACTAAAAAATGGAACATTTATTAACAGAATGAATGTTTTTGATCATATATAATGGCCATCTTCAGGTTCATGGACCATAATAAATGAAACAAAGCACATTTGAAATTACAGTAAGACCCTGCTTAACGCTGATTCGATATAACGCGGTCTGCTCGAAGCCTAAAAAAAACTCAAAATTTACGCCGATTTAAATTATCACAGCATTTTATTGATTTGTATATAATACGATTATTTGCAAACACAGACCAGTTGGAAAAGGGTGGCAAAAAGATGTACTTTCTTTAAATCTATGTTTGTTTGGTGCAATTTTGGAAAAAATATAACATCATAGATGCCTTAGGAAATATCAACTTTGCTTGGCAAGAATTAACTGAAAAATGCATGAACGAAGTATGGAAGAAGTTATGGCTGAAGGTATCCAAGAATTCTCAACAAGAAGAGCCTATCGCTCTATATTGATTAGGTTGACCAAACTCAACCTAATCAATATAGCAGGACTAGGAGATGTAGACGAGCAGGATATTGAGGAGTTACAGCAGGTTTCTGGTGAGAGCCTTACCAATGATGATCTTCAAGAACTGGCAGAACATGGAATTTATGTGGAACTGGAAAATAGAGATTCTGAAAACAAAGAACCAAAAAAATTTCTGTACAGATTTCCTTAGTAAAAGTTTGGTAAGATAACTGAAATCATTGATCAAATTGCAGCGAATGATCCAGAGTTTGAAAGGAGTGCAAAAGCAAAACAAGGCATTTTGGATGCAATCTTCTGTTACTGACATTTGCTTAAGGAAAGAAAAAAGTGATAAATGAAACTTCACGACTTTATTGCAAAAGAACAAGAATTTCAGAAAAGTCAGGACCTTCGTCACAAAAAATGAACTTTATATTTCTGTGTGCATATGTTTGTGTTATTTAACATATATTATTATACAAATTAATATAAAAATAACTTAAAATTAAAGTAAAATTTGTTTATTTTTGGTCATGTGTTTACCTATCTCTATTTACTATATGTTAAAATGACCTCATTTAACACTGTTTCACTTAGTGCTTTGTTGTCTAGGAATGCATCCCTTGCATTAAGCGAAGTCTTATTGTATAAGCATTCAAAAAAAATACACATTCATATAGCAAGTCACATGCACAGGATCATAAGTATATTAAATAAAATATAGAAAATAAGATTAAAAATTAACAAGAAAAATGTTAAATACAAAATAATTAAATAAATACAATCAAATATACAAATATTATAAGTAAAAACATAAATATAACAAAAGAGGATAAAGAATATTATAAAACTTCAAATAATGAACTCAATGCATGTGACACCACTGTAGAATTTTTAAAGTTAATTTCAGGTGAAGGGCGTTTTGTTAAAAAAGTCGAGATCTTGTTATTAGTATTTTAGCCACCCATACCAGAACTGTCATATCAGAACTGAAGCACGATGTAGAAGGTGTACTCTATCAAAAGAAAAATTAACATCATATTCACAAAAAAAAAAGACCACCAAGACAGTTGTACATAGGTGCTTTCTAATTGTGTCTTGATGATTCTAGTGCCCAAAGCCACATTTTACTCCAACATATTTGTAGTGATAATTTGCTCTGTTGTCCTGTGGGGGAATTGAATAGGTCTCCTTGTAGTAAGAAATATTGTAATATTTAGAAATTGTATTTCTCATGAGCTACATTGTTCTAATTCTAGAGTTAAACTATGAAAGGTTCTTCATTTAGGACAATAATAATAATCATATTGGATGTTATCTATGCCATAATGCTAATAAATTGCTAAGCATTAATCTTTGAAATTACATCAGTACTAAAGGGACAGAAGTATTACCCCATTTATGTCATATATATATCTATCATATGTTATGTATGTATAAGCTTATTGTGACTTTATTTTTATAATACATACAACATATATAGCTTTTTAGTTAGTTCCTGTGAGTCATCAATTTTTTGATAATTTTTAATTATAGCACATGATAAATACAGTGAAACCTCCATTAATGGACTTACAAATATTGGACACCTCTACTTAATGGACACTTTTACAATCCTCAGACCCCTGAAAATAGGGCATCTATAATATTTACCTTTAAATAACGGATGCTGTCGTCCATAACCTACTTTAAGAAAATATGAAGTCCCACCTTCAATATTCTGAAAGAATTAATTACATATGAAATATTTTAAAACTGAAACAAAGAATCAGTTCAAATACTCTTTCAGAAGATTAAATTTTGACCATAGGCATTGAATAAAGACTAGCTTAAAATAGGAATAGAGGTGGAGGGCAGGTTGTAATTAACAAAAAACAATTTTAAGATTAAAATTTTTTCTTGTTAATTGTTCTTGTTGTTAAAATCTGAACAATATTCTTAACCAGATTAGTGTTCTATAACAGATAAAGTTGTCAATCACCATTTATTGTCATACATATTAATGTTATTAAACTTCTGTCTTATTGTTGGAATTAAGCTTATGGTAACAAGAAACCACAAACTTTTCCAAAGTTATTTATTCATTTGACAAGAACTGTAGTACAGTAGTAATGAAAAAAAAAAACAATTTTAAGGTTAAAACAACAGTATTTATTTGGTGAAAGTTCAAAGATTGTGTTACGAAGGCAATTTGCTGACCATTTTAAAGTGTAGGAAGATATTCAATTTTCTTGCATTTCTGACACAATTTTTAACAGCTTTGTGGTGGCTAAAGTAATTTTTAATAAATCATTTATTGAAAAAAAGCAATGATGTTTGAAAAATTACACCTACTTGATAACTAAAAGTAGACAAATTACTACATCAATTTTTATTTAGTCTCTTAGATCATAAATGACAATATAAATGCAGGAATACCAAATATATTTCTTATCCCTTAAAATGACTAGCAAATCATCTTCATGAAGCAACATTCGAACTTTCACCACCTAAACCAATCTTCATTCACCCTTCTGTTCATAACAACAGTTTCATTTTTCTTTTTCATTACTCTGCCTCTGTCATGAATTAATAATTAATCAACGTTTACATTTTGTCGTAATTTTTTGAAATTCATTTAATTAAATTAAAGTACCTAAATAATATGTGTACTATTTAGAATTCAATTAAAATATGATTATTACAGCTGAAATGATAAATAATATACTGTATTTTAATTATATATACAATGTATACTTTTTTGTTATTTTTACATTTTTAATGCAAATTTGATGTTTTTATAATTTATCATATTCTTTACTTTATAATGACCAGGTTAAAATAGTAAAAATACAATATGGCCATTGACATATATCTCCAAAAAGCAGACACCTCTAAATAGCAAACAAACTTCTTGGTCCCAATAGTGTCTGCTATTTGGAGGTTATAATATAATTTATATTCTAGAATGTGGAATTCTACTTTATAATTTGTGTAAAGCCTGTTACAAAATTTATTTAAAATAAATGTTTTTATTGTTAAGAAGGTTTTCTTTTCTTAATAAATTATTATTTTTTAATATATAAATTATTATTTTTTGTTTTAATTGGTAAATTTTTTGAATGTGTTTTGTTTTTATCTTCAATAAAACAGCTTTTGTGTGTTAATTTATTTTCTTTCAAATTGCATTAATAAATATTTATAAATTTAACATAGTTTATTATAATTTATAAAAATTTACATCAACATTTAAAAATTGAATTTTTATTTTTGTAGGCAGATGTTTCACCTTATAGTTCAACGTCATTCCTTTCACCTCCACCTGATTCTAGTTGGAGAAGGTAAGGCAATTATTAAAACTAAAATGCTTAAAATAAACAATGAACTGTGGTAATTTTCCAAATTATTCTTGAACTATCTGTTCATCTTATATGGAGAGCATTGATAGAATATTTCATATTTTTACAGTATTCAAACGCAATTGTAAACAATGATATCTATGAAAATCAGTAATAAAAATTTTTTAAAAATTAATAATAAAATTGGGCTCTTGAATTCCTTATAAGACCCACTATTCAATGTAATTTTTATTTATTTGCGAGAATGCTTAATCTTGAAAATGCATTTTACTTTTAGTTCAAATTCTGTAATTTGTTTCATCTGTAATTCTGTAATTTGTTTTATTTATTTGCAAGAATGCTTAATCTTGAAAATGCATTTTACTTTTAGTTCAAATTCTGTAATTTGTTTCATTTCACTATAAAAGCATTTGTTTTGAGGTAAGTTATGAAGCAAAATGTCACGATAGTCATTGGAATATCTAACATTTTGCTTCATAACTTATCTCAAAACAAATGCTTTTATGGTGAGATGAAACAAATTACAGAATTTGAACTAAAAGTAAAATGCATTTTCGAGATTAAGCATTCTCGCAAATAAATAAAAATTTTTAGTTCATAAAATAATAGAGCTAATAAAGTGCTTTTATAGAATCTAACTACTGGCCATTAAGGCCAGAAAATTATGCAAATGCAAATGGATGAAGTGGACTCAAGATATGAAAGAGTTTATCATCCATATCTACTATACCATTACAAAGGAGGAAACAGATATGAAAGTATACAGAGACCAATACTATATGACTAAGCAAAAATATCCACATGTCAGTGTTATAGAGCAAAGGGATGTTGACTATAAATGATCAATCATACACAACAAATTTTTTATAATACCATAAACAACACTTGAACATATCAAACAAATTGCATTGCATTATATATTACTAAAACATATTCAACCAGAATCAACACTTACATACATACATACATACATACATACATACATACATACATACATACATACATACATACATACATACATCATCTATTCTGGTACAGTCACTGTAGTTACATATCATAGCCTTAAACTACAATCACAAACAATCAAAACACAGATAAATTATATGCTTGCCTGGCAAAGAAGACTAAGAGCACAAATAATTAACATTAGACAACAATTAGCCAGGTTGACACAATACACTAAAAACAACATCAAACTTAATGAAAGAAGTTTGGAAAATCAAGGAAAATTAAAACACACATACACAGTATGAACATTACAAATTTCAAGTACAGGAATACATTGACATTCAAACAAAAAATAGCAACCAAATCACAAAGACTCAAATTATGCAAAATTTGTATGAAAACAACAAAATAAATTATTCACAAACAACAAGACACTTTTCTACAGACAACTGCATACCAAATTTCTATCATGCAATGATTTGTCAACAGAAAAAACTTGCAGATTTTGCCATTGATCATTGGACTGCATTTTGGTCCAGTCCAATCAAACAAAATCAAAGCAAGCTGGACCAGAGGAAGGGGAATACATGCACTATACACCAGTCATGTTTTGTGTTGAAATACACATACACAACATCCAACGTATAGTACAAAGAACACACAGTTGGAAGAAACGTAGTGCAGACAATATTCACAATTTCTGGTATAAAAAAATTTAAATCCCTGCATCAAGAACTAGCCAAACATTTTATATCTATATCTACAATCAACAATTGACAAAATATGCCAAAATTTCTTAAACAGGACTACATACAAGAAATCCAAAAATGACAACACTAGAGATCCATACAATACAGATTAATCATGTACTGTATCTTTCTACACTTTAATCACTTCATGCATCACAAATATATGATCATATAGAATAATACAACATTCTCACAGAGCACGAAAAAGACTGTCATAGAAACCACATGGGATGCAAAGAACATTTACTCATAGACTCAGTCATTCTGTGAAAGTACACAAACAACATAGAAAGGCATTTAACAGCATCCCACACTCATTACATACACTATATTTATACAAAATACATCAGACACTCATTACATTTCTACAAAACAATACAATACTGGAGAACAACACCACTTCAGATTTCATGTGACATGCATCAAAACAAATCAAATGTAACAAATCTCTTCAGAAAATGCCTTCTCTTAAGTCCAGTCTGGTTCTGTCTGGGCTTAATATCACTATCCAGCAGATTAAATAATACTATATACAGATAAAACATCAAACACAACAAAACAATACAAAATATATCTACGTGAGATGAGATAATGGCATATAACTTCATGCATCTACACAAGCAAAGCTAAATTACCTATCATAAGTTACAGACACTTCAGGCAAAAGTTACACTCATATTCATATCGGAACAACAAGTATTTAACAAAAATATATTCTTTTCAGAAGTCTAAAGTTTATTTATTTATTATTTTTGAACCAATTGGACTTTTATCTTTAGAATACATTTGCTGATTTAAATCCTAGAACTCAATTATGAAAAATTTTTAAGCATTCTAAAGTCTTAGTCTCCATAGGATAAAGGTATATATTTGTAAATAAAATATAATTAAAAATTGTAGAAAAGTTTTGAGCTATAAAAATTAGATAGATTAAAGTTTTAAAAATATTAAAATGCTTTAATATTTTATGTAGTCTAAAATTTGAATTAGTTTAGAAAATATTAGGATTGATCAAATGAAAAACTGTTTGTGCCGTGTCATGTGGTATGAAGCAAGGGGAGGACCAAGCAACATTGTTCTTTTTGAACTGTATCTGTCATCTCCCCAAGCAGTGGAATGTCTAATGCCTATTGGTGACTTTTTTTAACCAACAAAAGTGCATTCCAGTTTCCTCATACATTGCTTTGTTTAATTAGGCCATACCAACAGATGTACTGTTTTGTTTGTCTTAATAAATTTACTCAAACAGATTTCATTTGATCAATTGTTGTACTAAATGAATAAAATCATAACAAAATAACAACTTACAGAAAAGTTGTTCTTTTGTCATGGTTTTATTATTTAAAATAAGAAATTGTATATTGTGTTAATAACATTATTTTGACAATATAAATACAGTAGAGCGTCGTTTATCCAAAAGTCAGTTATCTGAAATGTCAGTTATCCGAAAGAATTCCAGTTGGCAAATTTAAATTTTTGCTAGTGCTGTTGCACTGCAATCTTTGGCTATATCTTGGGCTACTCCAATATTTTTTATGTTTGTGTGTGTTTTAGCTGGCAGCACTGTCACTTTTGTGTGGTGTTTTTTGAGCACTGTATGTCATGCTGAATCGAACGTTTTTGATACTAGATAACTTCTAAAGTATAATTTTTTTTTTGTTTTTATATTTTTCAATATATTTATTTTGTTGTAAAAATAAAGGAATAATTTTTAACGATACAATAGCCACGATTATTATTTTAAAAAGTTTACATTAGGCTTAACATCAACGAAAATTCAACGCGAAGCGACATGCAACGGAGAAAAATTTCAACATGGGATAGGTTAATGTATTTTTTCGTAAATAATTGGTTATCCGAAAAATAAGTTATCTGAACAACCCCAGTCCCCAATTGATTCAGATAAATGATGCTCTACTGTAATAATTTTTGTTTTTATTTGAATTCATGTTGTGATTTTTAAATTTTTGTGTGTTAAGTATTTGTTTCATGTTGTTGAATTTTAAAGAATTTTTGATGTTTGGTATTTGTGAAGTTCATAATATTTTGTTTTAGAAAGTTTTTTTTTTTTAAATTAACATTAAATTTTTTCTACTTTAAATCAATAAAAAGATAATTTTATGTTCTTGTTTAGAACAAACTCAGATTCAGCACTTCATCAGAGTGCAACAAATCCACAGGAGAACTTCCATAGTGCCAATTCTCCTTTGAGCCAGAGGCGTATAATAGGTAAGATTATATAACTGTTTTATTTCTCAAAATAATAGAAACTTCTTAATATATCTTATATGTATTTTATATATATAATGATAATGTATGTAGTATGTAGGAGGGCTATTCGGAAAGGAAAAAACAAATCTATATTTATTATAGACAAAAAGTTATTACATACTTTTTATCTCAGCTATTTCTCAACGTAAGTTCTGCAACATAAGAAGTTAGGTGTTTGTTGTAAAGTAGCACCATTTTCTGTATTCTTTCATCAAAGGTGTTTGTCACCTGGGAGTTCAACTATCTAGTCCAAACTGGAAGTTTGTATATCAGGCTTTCTGCCCCTAAACTCTCTATAAACATTATTTCTCCAATTCAAAAATTTTCTCCGGAATGGAGTTAGTTAGATGACTGCATGATTCTGTTCTTAACAGGAAAAGTATGATGTACAGGGGCAAGATTATTAATATCAAAGCGTATATTATATATTAAATAAATTTAAAATATGATTAAAAATTATAACCTGCCATTGTGTGACAATGTCATAATAAATGTTTGTTCTTATTATTTTTGATATGAGTCAGAATAAACACAAATACTGAGAAGATTATAGGAATCAAAGCTTTTAATTTGGGTTAAACATTTTTTGGGATATCTCCATCCTGTCATCAGACCCATCAAAGTTTAAATCATAAATTTGAATGAAAACAGTTGTTTATACATATAAACATATTAAAACCTGATGCTATTAATCAAAGCCAAACAATTGCTGTAATGTATTGAGTTATTTTTTGCTACTATTAATAATTAGATTTTAAATAATTTGGTATTATAGGCAGATGTTAGGTGTCATCGCATATCAAAATTAATAAATATAATAATTTAATATTTATCAAATAATTTTGAATAGTGTGGAAAAAAGAATTGGCCTGGAATAGGATTTGAACCTGCAGCTCCATTACATTGGTTACATTGAGAATTAAATATACCTGGGAGCAAAGAATCACTTGGTGGTCTGGGTGGCATAATTGACAATGCTTCTGCATGGTAAGCAGGAGTTAAGGGTTCAAATCTTGCTTTGGGCTGATTCTTTTCTTCCAGACTACTCTAGATTATTTAATAAATACTAAATTAAAATAATTATTAATTTTAATAAGAGATGGTGCCTAATACCAAATTACTTAAAATCTAATTATTAACAGTAGCAAAAAATAGCTTGATACATTACAATTTAGATTTGAAAACAGTTGTTTAAAAATTAGAACAGAAAATTCTATTTTAAGTTTTTTTTTAAAACTGTCTACATTTTAGAATTCTTTTAGAATGCTCAATGGAAACAAATGGATGTTTCCATTTGAATTGCATTCAAATTTTGTTGGGTTTGATAGGATGTAGCAGTCCTGAAAAACATTTAACAAAATAAAAAGTTTTGACTTCTATAATCATTTTAGCATTTGTTTCTTCTAACATTGCATGGTGTTAATATACTCTGAAACGTGACATTTGATTAGAATTTTAATTAAGAACTTGATACTCTTGAAGTCATTTTAATTTTTAATTTCGAAAGTTCTTGAAGAAAAGAATCAACCTGGAGTGGCACTAGAACCTGCAACTCCCACTTACCATGGGATATGTTGCCAGTCATGCTACTCAGACTTCTGTCCAATCTTTACTTTCAGAACTATTAATCATGTAGAGAACTTACAATCATACTAGTTACTCACAGCATCTACTGGGGACAATTTAAGTGTGGCTAATAAATAGAACTGTATTCAAGATGATGAAATTGCTTTAAAATGCAATTACTAGCATTTTCTTTTCATTCTTTTTATACAATAACTCACAAAATTTATCATAATGGAGTTTATCATATATTTTAATTACATATAAATTGAAATTTTTAAAAATATAAGAAAAAATATCACAAATTATAGATTCAAAAAATTTTTTAAATAACCATAATAATTAATATATTTTTCCAAACTGTTTATTACAGATTCAACTGCATATTCTAAAGTAAATTTCAATAAAAATAAAATTTTAGGTAAAACACTACTTCATTATTATTATAACAATTGGTAATTATGTGTATTGGTAATTTTTGACAGTAATATTGACATCTAAAAAATAGAAGTGACAATAATTGAATAAGAACAGCAATTAATTGATTTGTTTAATATCAGTGGAGAGAACATAAACTTGGATATATCTAGATATGATAACATTTTTATTATAAAAAGTAACTCTATATTAAATAATGATTAATTTAGAATTAATGATTAATTGAAACCTATTTAAATTATTTTATTATATTAATAATAAATATTAATAGTAAACTCATTTTAATAATTCAAATATTAAAACACTGATGATATAAACATATTATTACGAAATGCATAATTAAAACTTTTGTACAAAATTTCTTTGAAAAATATAAAATACTGCTGGTAAAGGCTTATTTTGGAGAGTTTTTGTATGAATCTTGTGAGTGGATTTATAAATTACAGTAAAAGATTTTGATTATAACAAAGTTTTTTGTAAGTTTTTTGCATATTCTATAATAATAAATCGTTTTTTATAAATTTGATGAGAAGTATAATTAAATCAGCTTAAATGTTTAAATAATAATAATTTAATAAACTAATTTACCACTAGTTGCGATGGCTCATACATATATCAGCTGTTGCTAACATTTTAATCTGTTGTCAAGTAGTAAAACATNATAAGTCCTGTTAATATATAGAATGTACTAGTATACAAAATAATTTATAAAAAGTGTTAAAAAAGGACAAAAAGGCATAATAATTAAACTTTTAGACTCTCATCATCTTCAGGAACCTATAAATTTTTAATATTATTACTATAGTAGTGTGTTGTCAATGGCTAAGTTCTGATAGAAATAAAAATGGATGAAAGTTTTTAACAAAGAATTTTACGTATAACCATTTTAAAATACAAAATAAAATTAAAAAGACAAAAGTATAAACTTATAGAATTTTCTTACTGTATTAATGTGTCATAAACAAAAACTGTAACATGTCATAAGCAATCTAGTTAGGATGGAAACAAGTAAGGATAAAATTTAAAGTAAAACAACTAAAAGTGAAAGTGTTTTATGTAGTATTTGAGTGCAGTGTACTAGTGTCTGACCTTTTCTGAGCTGTTTCCAGGGAGAGGAGAGATGACCTGTGTATCTGCAATTGATGATGATTGTGCCACATTTTTTAAATTTAGGTGACTCAGTAGTTACGGTTTTATCATTGAGCATTAGAATTTCAATAATTGGATTTGGTTCCATAATACTTTAATATATTTGTATTAAGGACTACTTGAGCCCAAGAATGTATAGTACAGTAATACCTCGACTTACACTACCCCAACTTACACGAACCCAGAGTTACGCGATTTTCAAATCGCGTCAATTCGTCTTTTGTTTGAGTGCCACGCAACTCTTGATTACTCACTCCCCCAACACTATTGTTCAGCTTACATGTTCAGACGTGTCACGCGGAATCGACACATAGCTAATTTATTTTGTGTTATTTATTTCTGTGTTTGTTATATCTATGGAGACTTGAGAGACTCTATGTGGTTATTTCTTGTAACCATGAACGAATCAAAAGACGAGATAAGATTAACAAGAACATTTATTAGCTTGCATATATCCGACTTGGATTTTACACAAATTGCAAAATTATACTCCAACTTATGCAGTTATCACTCTGTCCCACCTATCGCATAAGTTTGTGGTATCACTGTACTTTTCTATTCTGATACGTCTAATGTGTTTGGAAATTTTATAAAACTTAATGTTTAATTTATTTTATTTTTTATTGTTTCCATTTTAACGAAATTGTTTATAAATTTTTGTTTATGGTATTTAACAATGGTAATGGGATTTTATAGTAGTATATTATGTAATTAGTTTATAATATATGCAATTATGGCATGAATGGAAGTTTGACAGACGAGTGGAGTGAGTGGGTCAATTTCCATTCGTGCCATAATCACTTATTATAAACAAATTGTCATACGGTATTTTGTGGCACCCATGGGTGCCACAAACTGTGTTTATAAATGATTTTGAGTTCCGTAAGTATAGAGTTATAGGTGTAGTCAATCACAAAGAATATTATTATTATTTTTTAGTTTTTATTTTAATGTTAATTTAAATTAATTTCATATTTTAATAGTTGTGTAAAATTTTTTGTTAAAACTTTTTATTCTATTTTGTTTTTATAACAACTTAGCTATTTATAATGCATGCTATGGTATTGATGTTTGAAACATTTTATGGGTTTTTGAGGATGTATGTGAATCCAAAAGTTAGGCTGACCATACATACTGTTTTGAACAGGACAGATAATAAACTCAATGAATAACCTTTATAAGCAGCACAAAAAAACTTTCAATCAGTAACGTTTTCAGTCATTTTTAATGGCCTTCTTCAGGTAGCATAGATGAAATTGTACAATATATAAAAATAAAAAAGAACATAATGTAAATGTTAGGAATAATAGAATGCCAAACAAATTAAAATTAAAACAATAACTACAGGTAGCCCTCGGTTTATGCCGCAGTTCTGTTCTTGCAAAAGCCGGTGCAAATCGAATTGGCATAAAACGAACCCATATTTACAGTGAGGTATAGGATTAGATTCTACATGAGTAAAAAATAAGCAAATAATTTTGTTTATTAATACAATATAATACAAAATACATATAAATTTAATTTTTAAAATGTATTTTATCATAAAATAAAGTGAAATGTTTTTATTAAAAAGTTTTAGTTTCAGATCTTTTGCATTCGTTGGAAAAAAGTATCCATCTTTAATTGTTTACATTTTTGTTTTCTTTCATTAAGAATTTTGGAATATGGTCGAATGGATGCGATGATGCTCTTTTTTACATTTGCACTTCGCTCCCAATCATTGTCTAACTCACAAGTTCATCTGTCAAACTTTCCATAGTTGAAAGGATACTCTTTAGATCAGCCGTTTTCATAATTCTTTGAGTTTATTTTTATCGTTCTTTTCCATGTTGGATCCGCAGCTTATTCAAATCTAATGGTTTGTGGAACATTCTCTATTGGTCTAGATCTGACCAATCCCAACGAGCCACGATTCTGCCATGACACGTGGTGTCGTAGTGGACTCATATCTAGGTAGGATTGGTCAAATCTGGACAAAATCTAGTCAAATCTAGCATAGGGAAAATCAGGGAATTATACAGCAAAATGGTGAATTGCGCAGTGGCGTTGTTGTGAATCTGCGTAAATTGAACTGGCGTAAATCAAGGGCTATCTGTATTTACAAATCAAAAATAAATAAATATAGGAATAAAATTACGAAAATAAAAACATAATATAAAAGTGAACAATGTAACAAATAATAATATAATTTTTTTATAACAGTGAACAAATGTATAATATACCAAAAACAGATAAATAAAATCATACTACATAACTGGAGAGTGGCAGTGAAGCACACTTCCTTATATTATTATTATACTCAAAGGCTTTGCTATTAACATCAAAGTTTTACAGAAAACTTTTACGTAACCCACTCTTCATTCCATTGGCCTCAAGTGACCTGCATAACAATTAGATAGTTGCCTTTGGGCCTTAATTAGAAGAGCCCACATCCATCGCCTTGAGGTCTGTGACAGAATGAAATAACTGAAGCACATATGATCACTTGCACACCATTTTTGATTTTAAATCTAAAACTATACAATCACTGATTGATAAATATCAATCCACATGGAATATGGGAACACATAATACACCTAATGGTGACTACACAGTGGAATATGTGTAATTAAAAATAATTTAAATTATTATTATTATTATTTTTTAGTTTTTATTTTAATGTTAATTTAAATTAATTTCATATTTTAATAGTTGTGTAAAATTTTTTGTTAAAACTTTTTATTCTATTTTGTTTTTATAACAACTTAGCTATTTATAATGCATGCTATGGTATTGATGTTTGAAACATTTTATGGGTTTTTGAGGATGTATGTGAATCCAAAAGTTAGGCTGACCATACATACTGTTTTGAACAGGACAGATAATAAACTCAATGAATAACCTTTATAAGCAGCACAAAAAAACTTTCAATCAGTAACGTTTTCAGTCATTTTTAATGGCCTTCTTCAGGTAGCATAGATGAAATTGTACAATATATAAAAATAAAAAAGAACATAATGTAAATGTTAGGAATAATAGAATGCCAAACAAATTAAAATTAAAACAATAACTACAGGTAGCCCTCGGTTTATGCCGCAGTTCTGTTCTTGCAAAAGCCGGTGCAAATCGAATTGGCATAAAACGAACCCATATTTACAGTGAGGTATAGGATTAGATTCTACATGAGTAAAAAATAAGCAAATAATTTTGTTTATTAATACAATATAATACAAAATACATATAAATTTAATTTTTAAAATGTATTTTATCATAAAATAAAGTGAAATGTTTTTATTAAAAAGTTTTAGTTTCAGATCTTTTGCATTCGTTGGAAAAAAGTATCCATCTTNTGCATCGCATTTATTGAAGATAAACAGAATACAAAATGCAATAAACAGAATACAAAATGCAATAAACAGAGGAACAAACAATGCAATGGTGAACAGGTATGTACAAAGGAGCTGCGCGACGATGGTTTTATATACAATACAAGTAAACCGACAGATATTGATAACAGAAAATGGGCGATGGCAGAACAGGAAAATACAGGTAGACGCGTCTCTGTAATGACAAAGATCCACTAGACCTCATGAGTATTCCAGGGGTGTATATGGTTCCCATCAAGGATGATAGTTATGCATGATTTATAGTATATTGGGCCACCTTAAGATCCCTTTGAGCAAGATTGAAAGAACATAAATATGAGAGTGATTCAAAAAGTAAGGTAACAAGAACTCTCCTGTACACATTTTATTTCACAGGCAGATATAGTGATACAGATTAATATGGCACTGGTACATATTATTTTTCAACATAGTCATCATGCTTGTACAAACATTTATTCCAACAATATTCCAAGGCATCAATGCCAGCAGAGAAGAAATCTGCTGTCGCTTGGCAGCACTTGAGTGCTGCAAGAGTCGCTGGTACCATTTCTGCGGCGCTCATATTTTGTGGCAGAGGGATATATCTGGGTCCCTGTTGTAAAATCTTCTCAATTCGAGATGGAACAATTTCCTCGGTGTAATTGTGAAATTGGGTTGGCTGCACCGGATTTTGTTGTTTGCGTGCTGCATTACAAAGCCACTTGAATTTCTTGCTTAGTTTATCTCTTTCATCTCGTGCAAACTTCGATGCCATGCTGTGAATCTTTCCAAGTCGGTCGTAGAAATCTACGACTGACTTGGAAACTGGATGCAGATTTCTTGGAAATCTGCATCCAGTCCCTTCAGCCATGCCATGAAGGCTTGCTGAACTTCCATATCAGTTTGGAATTTCCTACCACCCAGATACCCAGATGCTTCTTCAATGGTCCGAAGAGATGGAAATCACAGGATGCCAAGTTGGGGCTTTAGGGAGGATGTTCCAGTACCTCTCACTTGAAGCACTGTAACAATTCAGTTAGCACATCTTTCCTGCCTTTATCAAACTCAGTGCACCAAACCCACACCTGTTTTTGTGACATAACATTACCATCGTACACCTCAACAAGTTGACGATGAATTTCTACTGATGAGTTGCCTTCAGACCAAATCACACTTTGCATTTCCATGTTTGACCATGTTTCCGTGAGGGCAGCCATTTTCAAAATGATATTGCAAGAGTCTGATGCAACATTTGCACCATCTAATGCCTGTGTGATAAAGCTGTAATCTTCTGCTGCTGCCCTAATGGGAAATTCAAACAAGAGAAGGAATATGACACCCGTGAGAGCTCTTGTTACCTTACTTTTTGAATCGCCCTCGTATAACATACAGACATCACAACTCATTACAGCCCTTGTAACATATGTTGTATTGGATTCTGTCCAAGTGCAATGGGATCAAGCCAAAATCATTAAGAAGACTATCAGTAGACATCGTATTTGTCATGTGCAAGCTTTAAAATATAGAGATATGCACAACAGGGCATTCACATCAACTACAAAGATCTCAATGCCCTTTTTACAGCATTGAGAGACTGATTTGAGCTATAATCTATAAAATTGGAATGGCATTTCTTCTACACTTACGACATTTGGGACATTAGCTTTCTTTGTTACTATATTTTTTATTATTTTTCCTATATATACAGTTGAACTTGGATGGATATAATGAGTTTGTGGTTATAATGAGCAAAATGCCATAACAATTTTAATTTATGCATATTTCCATAAATTTTCTCATGTTTATAACAAAGGTACTTCATGGATATAAGAGCAAATTTTTGATAGGTATGAAAACACACAGAAATCCTTAATTGTTCAAGTAGTAAAAAAATGCAATACCAAATTCTTGGAAGAGATAATACTGAAAGGGTTATTTAGTTTTATGATCACTGGATAATTAGTTTTACATCCTGCAAGGATTACAGGCCTATTCATTATTTACCTTTCTTTTTGGAGACCACCCACTCTTTCTTGACTGGCTTTTGACTCTACTCTGCCAATTTATGTAAGCATCACTACAACTGTAAAATTACTGTATATTCTAGTTAGAAATGAACTCTTTCTTGAGAAAGATGTCTACGAAGAAAATATAATTGTTTCTCTGTGTACAAAAAAATAGAAATTATTTGCAAGTTAGAACAAAAACATCAGTATGTAGAAAGTTTTATTTGTCATCACAGTAAGAAAATATAAAGCTAACCTTAATTTTAAGATTTGTAGATAAACTAACTGAAATCAGGCATTATTACTATTTAAAAAATGAAATATTTAGAAAAATTTACTTATTTTTAAACTACCAAATCAATATAAACTGAAAGAAGCAGTACACCTTGTTTAACTCCAGCAATATATTGAATTAACCAAAAGCATTTTTAAACTACTTTCATAGGCCTTTTTAGTTGGAACACCAAATGAAAAGCAAGGTTACTGCTTTTTGTTTGGTTACTTCTCCCAGTTTTGTCAAATTTTTTTGCAAATTGAAACAAGAAATAATGTACTAACAAATTGATAGTAACATCCATCTACATTTCTTGGTGAAATTTTAATAACAGAGGGCCTATATGTATCAGCTGTAGCTTCTCACTCAGTTTTGGTATCAAGAAATTGATTTTCCTACCAAAAGTGCTTGAATTTTGGTCAAAATTTGTTCCATTAAAGCATTTAATTTTGATTTATAATAATAATTATTAAAAAATACACATGTATATATATTTATATATATAATATTAAAAAACTTATGTTTTTTAGCAGTTAATGATGTGGATGGCTCTCTTGCATTAGACAGTGGGCAGATGAAAAATTATTGGGATCCAAAGAAGGTGTGAAACAAATAAGTATACATAATATTTTAATGTTTATAATTTTAATTAATTCATTATGTTAGTTAGTTATAATTTTAAAAAATTACCATCAGGAAGGAAAAATGTTTTAGTAATTGGATGATTTTATATAAAAAAAGAATTAATATTCATTAAGTTATAAAATTGAGTTGATTGAAAAATATATGTTTATTTATACTATGAAGATCAACTTTTTCATCTACTGTAAATATTAATTAGGACAGTTATGAGTAAAATATCAATCCATTAATGTCTTCTGTCATTAGCAACAGACTGTCTTACTTCCTCAGTCCCGGCCAAAATCGTGTGAAGTTCCTGGAATAAAGTAAGTGAAGTGTTTTATTCACATAAAATTATTATAAAATATTTTTATAAAAAATTAAAATTACAATATTTAATAATAGTTAATAATTGGAATTTTAATAATTTCTAAATGATGACAAATGCAAGAAAATAAACTTGTAAATACATAATTAATTTATTACTTTTGTACAGAATTTAATAAATTAAAATTTTTTATGTTATAATTTAAAAATTCTAATAATAAATACTTGGAATCTGTTTAGGGTTTTTTTTGTTGACGTTTTTCTAATGAACATTACAAAAGATTATAATAAAATCAGGAAATCATTAAAATAAATAAAATTCTTGAATAATTTTTATAGTTGAAAATGTAAACTATATTTAATTTCTGTTTAATTTTTTTACATATATAATTTGTTTACAGATTTTAAGCATTATAAATTTTACAGATATATCCCAGTTTATGAATGTGTTATGTTTTTGATTATGCAATATAAACCAGATTGTTTCATTGTTAATTATAAAATGAGCATTATGTTATATACAAATAAATTATCCTATCAATATTGTTATACTGTAACAAAAAATATTAATCTTTTATTGCCTAAAATTTGTCATATATTCTCAGATTAATACTTATTAAAATATATATATTACACTAATATGATATTAAAACAAAATAATGTTTCAAATACTGGATAGCTTCAACAACATTGCATTTAGAACAGAAGAACCTGTTTAATAAATGCTGGTGGCCTTCCAAGCATCCATTAGAAGACCATTGCTCTGAATCACAGAACAGAGCTTGTATGCATCACCAGAGTTGACAAAACATGAATATGCTGCTTGCACCATAAGGAAAAATTAGTACGAAAATATTCAATTGCACATTATAATGATAGGGAACCCAAGGGTAACTACCATACAACAGAGAGTTCAATATAAAATTCAAATAAAGAGTTTTATATAATAGGTTTTTAAAAAACATTAGAACATTTTTTTTAAATCTTTACATTTAGCAATCATTATTAGAAAAAGCTCAATACTGTACATAAACAGATAATTAAGACCATTCGATGCCATATCAGCTCTTAGTAAAGGTCACCAATTTTTAAACTTCTTAGAAACAAAGAGAGTCTTTGGGATGATGAGGAAAGTACATGACCTTGACCTACTTAGACTCATGGAGCAGTAGAAATTTACAAGTCAGTGGTAAAGAAAAATGCAATTAACTACAAAGATTCCAATTTAATATTGAGCATATGGAAAACATGTTTACAAAATAATTAAGGCATTTAAATATGAACTTTCCTAGGTGAACCAGGACTCCATTTTATTATATATTGGAACAAAACAAGAAATTAATTTTGTAATATTCATTAATTGTATATATATTTTTTAATCCCACAAATGTCATTTGGGCTTTTAGCACTGCAAAAAGCTATAGTTTGAATTGTGTTCCAGACCAATGTTCAATTTTGTTAGTCTTAGAATGTGCCTGAAGATGGTTGTTTAAAATAATCAAAAACATTAGCATTTTGGTTCTTTAATTTCATCAACATATTTCTTAAAAGTTTTTGTATTTGTATTGTGTAAAGCTAAACAATCTGTTGGATTATGTTTGGCTAAAATGTAGCTATTATTTAATAATTAAATATTCAGTAATTTTGCCTAGAGGTAGGTGTTAGGTGCCATCTCTTGATAAATTTCATAATTATAAATAAATTGATATTTAATTTTTAATTTCGAAAGTTCTTGAAGAAAAGAATCAACCTGGAGTGGCACTAGAACCTGCAACTCCCACTTACCATGGGATATGTTGCCAGTCATGCTACTCAGACTTCTGTCCAATCTTTACTTTCAGAACTATTAATCATGTAGAGAACTTACAATCATACTAGTTACTCACAGCATCTACTGGGGACAATTTAAGTGTGGCTAATAAATAGAACTGTATTCAAGATGATGAAATTGCTTTAAAATGCAATTACTAGCATTTTCTTTTCATTCTTTTTATACAATAACTCACAAAATTTATCATAATGGAGTTTATCATATATTTTAATTACATATAAATTGAAATTTTTAAAAATATAAGAAAAAATATCACAAATTATAGATTCAAAAAATTTTTTAAATAACCATAATAATTAATATATTTTTCCAAACTGTTTATTACAGATTCAACTGCATATTCTAAAGTAAATTTCAATAAAAATAAAATTTTAGGTAAAACACTACTTCATTATTATTATAACAATTGGTAATTATGTGTATTGGTAATTTTTGACAGTAATATTGACATCTAAAAAATAGAAGTGACAATAATTGAATAAGAACAGCAATTAATTGATTTGTTTAATATCAGTGGAGAGAACATAAACTTGGATATATCTAGATATGATAACATTTTTATTATAAAAAGTAACTCTATATTAAATAATGATTAATTTAGAATTAATGATTAATTGAAACCTATTTAAATTATTTTATTATATTAATAATAAATATTAATAGTAAACTCATTTTAATAATTCAAATATTAAAACACTGATGATATAAACATATTATTACGAAATGCATAATTAAAACTTTTGTACAAAATTTCTTTGAAAAATATAAAATACTGCTGGTAAAGGCTTATTTTGGAGAGTTTTTGTATGAATCTTGTGAGTGGATTTATAAATTACAGTAAAAGATTTTGATTATAACAAAGTTTTTTGTAAGTTTTTTGCATATTCTATAATAATAAATCGTTTTTTATAAATTTGATGAGAAGTATAATTAAATCAGCTTAAATGTTTAAATAATAATAATTTAATAAACTAATTTACCACTAGTTGCGATGGCTCATACATATATCAGCTGTTGCTAACATTTTAATCTGTTGTCAAGTAGTAAAACATTTTCTTAGACTGTACATATGCTTGTTGCTAAAATGAAGTCATTCATATCTAAGTATCAAAATAGTTAAGTTAAAACTGCAAATCACTGAAGTAGTATCTAGCCAATATAACTATCAAAAGTAGTAATTGAAGAATACAAATAAATATCTAAGACATGATCTCTAATTCACTAAATTAATGATCCTTAATAGTTTCCAGGAGTCAAAAAATTTATTTTGATTAAATGTTTTTCAAAACTCTTATTGTTTTGTTTTCAGATCTATATAACATGAATAAAGTACAGGTATCCCTTGTGCAACTCTGCATTTCTACAAAACAGTTTTGCTCTAACATGGTTTTGAAAATTGGGGAAATTTCCATACAACATGGTTTCGCTCTAATGTGGTTTGAGAATTTGGGAAATCCTCCATACAAAATTTTACAATTTTTAAGTGCAAACTTTGTTGTTCAATATTTTTTTTATCCAAGTAAGCATGCATATTTCTCAAATTTGTCCATGGATTTTAGAATATTGAAATTTTCAATTTGTTTTGTGCCTTTCATCAAGTTTACTTTAATGAAAACTGATAGTGCAATTTTTTTCTTTCTTGTCCTAGCTTTCCTATCAACCAGGTGTCGTCATTGCTGCTTTCAGACTTTAGCTTATAAAACTGTCACTTTGTTTTGTTTTTATAGATTAATCTTTGTATTTAGTAAAGTTTATTTAAACATTTTTAGATAAGTGTTATTAAACTTCTTTAACTGTAGGTAAGTAATCATTTAGACAAATGAAATACAGCAGTATCTTGGTACTCAGTGTATCCAACTCTAACAATTTGGTATTCAAACACAAATTTTTGGAAAAAAATCGTTCAGTACTCAACTGAACAAATGCTTAATAACCATATTTTTATTTTTGTTTTGTTATTCATGAAAAATTTTTATGATGATAATAAAAAAACATGAAAGTTTTTGCTGATATTTCTGATCAAGATCAACAAAAAAGCTCAGATGATGATGATATTTTGTAAAAAGAAAACACTCTCATTTAACTAAGATTATTATTAATGTGTAATACAGTACTTTTAATTGTGATTGTTAGTTAATTATTGATTGCTTTAATAAACATATTTCTCTTAGTAATGAAAAAAGAATAGTATAGTTTCATTCACTATTGGAACCTAACCCTTTTTCACTTGTCCTTTCTTTTGTATAGCTTGGATTTGCATAACATGGCACTTTTTTGGAACCTAACTACTAGGTTATACATGGGATACCTGTACTAATAAAAATATAAATAATAAATTTATATAACTGAATTAAAAATAATTTAACATATAGTTCAAATATAGAGCAAATTTTAAAAATATAGATTTTATAATAGACTATACCTTGTAAAATTTCTTTTAAAAAACAGAAATAAAGCTTAAGGACAAAGGTTTTCATATTTGCAACTATAAGCTTGGATTTGTCCAATTTTATTTCTTTTTTTATTTAGTCAACGCAGTATTTATCCCCTCTTTATTGGATATCTGTTTTATATTCATTTATTTTACATATTTAACATTCTATTAGTGATCTCAACATACCACTTACAAATATTGCTATTCTTGAAATGCACTAGAATTTTATGAATACCACTTATCAACTTGCATCTGAAGAATTCATTTTTATTTTTGATTAGATCATAAATTGTAAGGGATTTAATTATTACAATTCTAATAACATGTCCTTTTAGATACAGATTTGTAAAGTTTGTGGTTAACAACCCAGACATCATATCTACACAACAACATAATATTGAAGATTCAAAGCAGTTTGTTTCATATCTTCAGTTTTAAAATGAATCAACATTGTAAAATACAGTCCTAATAAAGTTTATACAAATGTGACCTAATACAACATTTGACAATGTGACTCAATTTTGTGCAAAAATAATTTCTTTGAATACACAAAGAATTTTTTGATTTCATTAAAGTAGTTTTTGACCTAGTTTCTCAAAAGATGTGTTATTATTGTAAAGCAAGCGATTACAGTATTTCAGTTTTGCTTCATTGTGAAAATATTTAATTAAATTTTTAATAATATTTTCCTTGATAAGTATCCATATTTTAATGATATATTACAGTAAATAAATTAATAACATACCATTATTATGAAAAGTTTTCTTTTAAATATAGGTTTAATTATCACTATTTAATTTTTTAATAGTTTTAAATCAAATTTGAAATTGATTGATAAAGCATTACTTAAACAATAAACTGTTTTGAATCTTCAATATTTCTGTTTCAGAAAGAAACCACACGAAACAAAGCCTTTTAAATAAAGGCTTTGTTTCGTGTGGTTGTGTAGATATTTTTTACTTGACATCTCTTGTTCTTTTCTAGCACTTCTTAGTATTTTCATATAAATAATGACAAACTTAATATAGTAGACATAATAGACGTAAACAGACTGATGATGAAATTTTAGTCAAGTTTTCTAATGTGTTTATTTAGAATGTGTTACATATATACATATTTACTTATTGCATTGAAATTCAGAATATGATGACATCAATAAAACTTAAATTTAGTAGATTGATAAGTAATTTTAATGATATAATTTACATCTATGTTAACAATGTAGAAATATCAATAAAATTATGATATTATTTATTTTCATGGTTTCTTATTCAATAAAATTTTTCAATTTAACTTCACTGAAATTGATATTTGTTATGTAAAGACTTGAAGTGTGTGTGTTTATCTGATGATAATAGAAAAGATATAAATTATGTTTACTTTTAATATCTAAAATAAATAATTTTTTAAAAATATAGATATTAATAAATTAAATAAAAATGAATAATTTTTGAATATGTCCAATTAATCTATAGTAAGAAATATAGTTATGGAAATTCATCTGTATTAATTGATAATTTTAAAATCTTTTAGCGTGTTTCCCAGCCAAGAAGAAAATGCATTAATGATGCATCATGTACCTATGTCTAATAATACTGGATCATTACCAGATCTCACCAATTTGCATTTCCCTCCACCTTTAACAACACCTTTGGATGTTGAAGATCAAACAGCAACATGTACGTCTTACAACCAACAAACTTTATTACATCCAAATACTTCCACATTATCACCTCCCTCTTTAACTCCCCAACGGCATCATACTCATGGCTTAGGTAAGATTGAAAATTTTTCATAATCATAAAATTAACAAGATAAATTATTAATTCTGTCAGAATTCAATTTAAATTTTATTGTAGAACAATTAAAGATTAAAAATATTTTAATGGAATAAAATTATAATACAGAGAGGAAACAGTAAAGAAAATAATGATTCATTGAAAGAAGTATGTGTAGAATATCTACCTAATGGAACAAAGATGACTGAAATATTGAATGCACTGGACTTATAGAAATAATTACATTTTTAATTTATTTAGTTTAAAATATATTTTCTCCTTCAAATTAGTAGTAACTTCTTCCNCATCATCATAATCTTACTAATATTGTTATTGGTGGTTGTAGTCCTCGTCATCATAGTCATCATGAAACACGTTCTTTACAACAACAACAACAACAACGATCACAACCAACCAGAGTGTCTAATTGGGGATGTGAAACCTTTAAGAAGCTCGAACTCAAGGACAGAACAGCTTGAACAAAGATGACTGAAATATTGAATGCACTGGACTTATAGAAATAATTACATTTTTAATTTATTTAGTTTAAAATATATTTTCTCCTTCAAATTAGTAGTAACTTCTTCCTGTACATCATACTTTTCCTTTAACAATAGAGTTATGCCAGTCATCTAATACCTTTCAGGGGAACTTTTTGAATTGAAATAACATGACATCTAGTTTGCATTAGAAGTTCGTATGTAGTTCATCAGGGCCTCCTGCCCCAAGGTTTCCATATCTGGTCTCAGATTTCATTTATCTAACTCCATTCTTGAGATTAAGGAAAGATGGACAGATGACAGTGGGAATTTATAGGTCTACAATTTTTCAAATTGCAGCACAATTAAGTAAAAACCAAAAAGACAACCAGGAAAGTCATAAGACAGACAAGAATATAGAAGTTATGTTGAATAATGATCTGTCTTAGAAGTTTTTGGGTCATATAACAATCACAAAACAATGAATTATAATTGGATATTTGGGAGAAACTTAAAGTTAACTTAAACTTTTTTAGTTTCTATATTCTATTTTTCTTCACATCTAAATAATTGATTCCTAAAAAATTCAAATTACTTTAGCTAAGCTTTCCGTTTACTTTATTTTACTAATGTATTTTATTTTATCTTATTTAATTTTTTAATTAAATCTTAGCATAAATATTATAATTATCTTATATAACCATATCAACAAATGCAGATTTTTCAGTTTCCTAATTAATTATATTTGAATCTTTAATTTTGATATTCCTAAAAAAGTATATTATTCAAAAGTGCAAGAATACTCTCTCTTTATTATAATTTTAATTTCATTAAGATATTTTTATTTTTAATTAACTCAGCATTGTAATTAATGTGATCCAAAAAAGTACTTTGAAATACATATATCGTAAACCCATGCTAACTTGGACTTGCATAACTTAGACAAATTTTTTCTATGAACTATATGGTAATTTAAAATTTCTTAACAATAGAAAAAAATTATAATTAACAAGTATTTTTTATATTAAGAAGCCTTTGCAATATTTGTGCATTATATTATTGTAGTCATTAAGTTACTAAAGATTGTACATTATTTATACTGTACTGTCATGAAATTTTTAGCTCATTTCATTGTTATAATAAACTTGGTAGTATAATGTACTAAAACTCAGTAAACTTCTGAATAGAGCTGATCATAATAAATTACTGTACTATATATCGACCTTTTTTGTTTTCCATATCATCTGAGAAAACACAACTGCTAACTTGGACTTTGTAAACTTTGATAACCTTTACCTTCTGTTAGTCTGAATTAGCAGGGGTTTACTGTGTTTTAAATTTAGTTTTAAAAAAATATTTTTTTTTTATCTTTGCACTGGGTTTCACTTGAATTTACAAGATAAGAAAACAAAACAAAAAATGTGTATATTAAAAATAATGTGTATCATTTTTGGTATTAATGTTTATTTTTTCATGTGAAAAATATTTCAAAAATTACACTATAGAATGAATTTCTAAAATAATTTAAATTTAAGAGCTAGAAACTTTTATTTTGACAGGAATGTTTATTCTTGTAAAATAAAAATAATTAAGATGATAAAATGTTGAGTTTTTAGTTTTTTTCCTACTTGGTTTATATGATAATGTACATATTTTGTTTTTATGTTTTATTCATTTTTTTGTTTTTTTTTGTCACTTATTGCAATGTTCTATTCAATGTATAAAATTCAGCATGCACATTTTAAAAATTTATTCCAAAAATGGAATGTGGTAAACCAATATAGAATAACTGGCAGTTTTGTTCTTTTTAAATTATAAAATTCAAATTTTTCCCGAAGAAGGTTCAATTAAGAAAACCAAAAACATTAGAATAATACATATTTACTGCATAGTAAATGGTTACATTTTTATTTTAACATTTCCAGTTTAATTTATAGATCATTGTCATGATTTTTCATTAATTGATTAATAAGTTCAATCGACTATTCCAACTGTAACACAAAATTTGAATTGTTTGCAAATTTTAATACAAATGGCAATAATAAATACATGTTAAGAAGATAAAAAGATAAAATAAAAGCAATAATAAAATAAGAATAAAAATGAATAAAAAGATAAACATTAAAAAATTTGTATTCTTGTTATATGTTGTTAATCAAGGCATACTTTCAAGAGGTGGAAAGTGTATCTGCATTCTTATTATTTAGACATTTCCAAGAGGTTCTCTCTGGGGAATGCTTGAATATTTTCATTCATTCCATTAGTAATGCCTGAGATGGCAAAGAAATGTTTTGATCCCTGTTAAAATGGATAATATAGGACTGAAAATAGCATGCATTAGATACACTAGCAGGAAATTAGAATAGTGAGTCTATGAATATAAATATGATGCCTGCCACAAATGCAATAATATAGCTTAAGCATGTTTCACTAACCAAGACTAATTCAATATTTTGTGGGACAAAACCAGGGTTATCAAGACTACAGCTGGACTTTAAAAAGTTCTGTTGCTTCCTGTGCCTGTGGGACAGCAGGAATTTTAAAGTGCTTTACATCAAATAACAATGGCTGAAAAGAGAAGCACTCACTGAAGTGTAAAGTCTTAACTAGAGTCTGAAACCTCTAAAATCTGTTTTAAAGGAGAAATTTGTTTTATATAAAAATATTCTTAATTGATAAAACATTGCAAGAAAGGTTATTTTGCGAGAGAGTAGAACAGGAATTCAACCATTTTCTCCTATGATCGCAAAAACAGAAAAAAAGAATGGTTAATAAAACTAAATGTCACACAAGTGCAGCTGGTAATATTTACAAACAAATACAGTAGACCCCCTATAACGCTTAGATATGTTCCACGCTGATCGAATTTTACGTTGTAGGAATGATTAAATACATGAGCCAATCGCGGCCCGATAGGTGTGAACTTTACGGACTAAGGCTGTTTGAAAGGTTTTCTTCTATAAAATTAACCGATTCTAGACTAATTCCACTCAACATTTCCAAAACACGTATAATTTTTTGGGAATAATCTGTATAAACTATGCTATAAACAAAAAATTATAGGATTACTTACCGAGTGTGCACCATTCGACTACGCCCGTTGTTCAAAGCTTGTCTTCGTCGCGGAACAGCACACGAAACGGCGGCCGCGATTTCTGATAAATAATTTTTCGCAGAAAAATAACTTGACCTTTGGAGACATCATTAATATAAATAATTTTTATGGCCGTTGAATAAGAAGTGTTTCTTTCACAAGAAATGTATAAAATTAGTGCTGTATTAGACTTACGGTACCTAATTTACATACTGTACAGACGATAATAAACTCAACTTACTAGCCTAAAATCTCCGTAGCGTGTTGCCAGGCGGCAGAAAGCATATATATAATTATAATAAAGTTACAATAAATTAAGTTAATATATAATTATATATACAGTACCTAATTTATATATAATTAATATATAATTATATGTACAGTACCTAATTTATATATAATTTATATATAATACTAAACAGACGATAGCAAACTCAATTTAGCCGCTCCGTAGCGTGGCGCAGGGTCGGAGGAAAGTAGTTCGGCTGCTCATCCACTATTGGTCCAGACTCTATCAATCTTGTCGCGAAACGACGTTATAGGAGGTACTTTATACAAATGTTGCTACAATTTTTTCGCTACGTTATAGGAATTGTCGTTATAGGAACGCACGTTATAGGGGGGTCAACTGTATTTACAAAAATGTTTGACACAGTTATGGACATAATTGCAACAAATTCAGTAAACATCTTCAACTGGTGTCTAATCTTTGGATTCTGTCCCAAATGGTCCTTGCAACAGACTAGGGGCCAATTGGAAAGGGAAGGGAGAAGATGGAGATCACAACCAACCAGAGTGTCTAATTGGGGATGTGAAACCTTTAAGAAGCTCGAACTCAAGGACAGAACAGCCTGTCCCATCAAGGCAGCAGAGCTTATCCCACTAAGACAGTGGAGCTTATTCAACTAAGACAGCAGAGCTTTTTTTCACTAAGACAGTCAACTTTAACCAAGTAATATGAGTAAACAACAAACAGTGTTCTTTAAATTCTCCTATTAGTACACTATCTGCATTGAACACCAAGATTAATTAGTTGATCACTGGATCAACTAATAAGGAGCAACAAACATTGGGAACTTTGTCTCATTGTGCTGGAACATTGTATCCCCAACTTGTCACCATTGTCTGGACATCATGTATCGTGTCAGATTAGTTTTAAGGACAAAGGGAGATTCTCCTAAACTTATGTAAGATACATTTTATATTCTAATAAATGGATGTAAATTGTAAATGGAGAGATCTTGCCTCAGTGTCTAACGCCATCACTCACACATGCAATTTACACCTCGCTATCCTGAATGTCACTTCCTTGTTAAACAGGAGAGTGTAGATTGCCATGCTAAATGATATCAGGTCAGTGATAAGGCATCACTGGGGTCCTCACAGAAGAGTACAGTAAATGAGCTGCTTGTCTCCTTGGAGAAAATCTAATGTTGACCTCTACATTTAAAACTTGGCTTGATTATTTATGAAAGTCATAGATCATAACAGCAAAAGTTTCTGGTTCTTGAAGAATAAGTTCTCTACATTGGTCCCTAATTAGGCAGATTTTGTCTTCAAAATATTTAATTACAATAAAATCCATATAACGAAAAAAAACCAAGTACCCTACAGTTAGTGATGCTAAGATAAGAAGGTATATTTGGTCTGCAAATTCAAGAACTAATGAAAAATCCTGCATTTGAAGGTAGTTTCAATGAAGCAAAGGAATCCTTTAAGAACATTGTGAACAATTTTTTTTCTTGGGAATCAAAATACGGCAGATAACTATGAAATGCTTGTTGTGAAATTTTTGCAGAACTACTGACAACTAGAATGTTGCATGTCTCATTCATGTAAGATTCATTTCTTGGACTTGCATATGGATTTCTTTCCCAGGAACCTAAGAACCGTTAAGAACCTATAGAAAACCGTTTTCAGATGAGATCCAAGTATGCTAGCTGACTACTGCTGGACCATGAAGATAGATATTCCTGCAGCTAAATATGGCAGGAAATCCACATGGAATACATTTTAGATGATAGAAAGAGATTGAAAAAGATTTGAAATCAATGGAAAAATTTCTGTAAGAACTAATCTATGATTTCCTTTTAACAGGCATTAAGTTACATTTTGTTCCTCAGTATTACTTTACTGGTATTGAATGAGAATAATTTTTCATATCAGTGAGTTTTTAAACAGAATTTTTGTTATAGGAAAAATAAAAACCCCAAAAAAACCTTTATGAACAACTATTGCATTTGGAAAAAGTTATTGTTTGATATCAATATAGGTGACATTATTGGGCCCATAATTTTTTGAAGATTCTGCTGAATGTACAATTAATATTAATGTAGAAAGTGGATACCTCCAGAGATGGTGCAAACATTCCTTCAGCCTCAACTTAAACAGCAAGCACTTGGCAGTGTTTAATTTAGCAAGAAAGTATTATGATGAAAGAGTTCATTACACCTTAAAATCAGCAAAAATGATGTGATGAATTAATGTTTTCAACCACATGCAGTCTGCAGAATCCTAATATGCAACCTCCCAGGGCTTTGACAACAAAATTTTATTTTACTGTTTTCTGTCTTGTACCTTATGCAATCCTAATTAAGCTGATATTCATGACATTCAAACTAAATTTGACCATTAAAATGATGAAAATAAATTGTATATTATTAGTTTTCATTTTAGTATCAAGATACTTCATATCCACCAGTAAATTTTGTGCATACTGCAAGACGCAGCATAGCAGTTTTGCACAAAATGTTTGAGGGTCACATTGACAAACATTGTATTAGGTAACATTTGTATAAACTTTATTAGGTTGTATTTTACAATTCTGATTCATTTTAAAACTGAAAATATGAAACAATAATAATAATTTTTAAGATGTATATGGTTTGAAGCAAAATGCACTTTACTTTCAGAATAATTTTAAAATTTTTATTTTCTTTAAGCATATATACATCCTTTTTGATCAATATATTAATTAATATATATAATATTTTATAACAAATATAAATATATGATGATCTACATAATAAATAATGCACTTTTGTTATTTTTAAGGCCCAAGTGTCAGTGGTGGAACATTAATTCAAACTTGTGGTGGAGGGGGTAGTCGACATTCTAGTCCTGGTCCATCTCCATCTCCTTCCTCTCGTCGTCGTCATCATCATAATCTTACTAATATTGTTATTGGTGGTTGTAGTCCTCGTCATCATAGTCATCATGAAACACGTTCTTTACAACAACAACAACAACAACAAGTATGTAATTTGCCTTATGGGCATGAAGCACCCAGGATCACAGTGGAGGTAGGGTAGATCCCAGAGATGGCTCTGCAATGCAAAGGCAAATTTTTATCAAAAAATATAATATTAATTACACAAATATTAAAATTTTAAATATTTATTTATTTAAAGATATTCTTTTTTATTTAAATTTTTTCAAAAGCTTTTTAATACAGTCATATATTCTAAATTTATTTGACTGTGTGATGAATAAATTTAGTTGTTTAAATTCAATTTATTAATTACTTTAGTTAATCACAAATATTTTAAAATACTTTTAATTTAAAAGAGATTGTGTTAATAATTAAATAAAAACAAGAGTTATATCTTACAGTTCTAATAACAGTAAATTGTTTTGCCAAGATTGGGAAAGATAAAAAAAGATAACTACTGAGTATTGGCTTTTATTTTTAAATTTTAATTGTTGACAAAATACAGGGAAGTTGGCTCAGTGCTTTGCCAGACAAGCTGATATAATTCAGCAGTTTCAAATGAACTTGGTTTATTTATCTAATGCAATCTTTCAGAAATATTTGATAACAATATATTGATGTTATAAACAAAATTTGAATTTAGAAATTGTTATATAAATTTTTTTATTATATGAATACTCCAGATTCATCAATTGTTTTGTGATCTCATTTTGACATTATGCTGGATCAGTTTTCCAAAGGTTAATAAGTTAATAGTTTAACAGTAGTCTTTTTCATTTTCTTTAATTTGTTAATATAATTTACATCAGTTAAATTGATCTTTCCTTTGCCTTGTATTAAATTTCGAAAAGTTAATAATTTTATAATTCATTGACAATTTAACATTTATTTATAAATTACCATATCTTGCTTTCAAAATTTTTTCACTTTATTCTTTTATTATGTATTGTCCTATTTCTCTAGTTTATAATATATGAAATAACATCAAAGCATTGATGCTTGACGGTTTTTATGAAAGGTATGAAACAATTATTAATAAGCAAATTGAAACTTTTACATGCCTACCAGTGGCCAAGCAGTTCTGTTCTCTGAACACTGAGAGTTTGATCATGAATTTGCATGGAGTTTTCTGGGTTTTCTCCATGTCTGTAGTGCCTGAATAGGGGCCAGTTACCCTTAAAAAGACCTCTTGGAAGGCATCCCCTAGGCAGATCTTCCAACTGTTGCCTTGCTGTAACTTTATAAACAAATAAACAAACAAAATTTCTATAAAATTGATAAACTTAAATTTTCTTATAGAATGCTAATTGTAACAAGTTTTCTGTGAATAAAACATTTCTTGTAGTGTGTATACAATATCTGCCATTTGGGCTGCAATTTGAAGAAATTGTAGACCTACCTATAAATTCCCACTGTCGCCTGTCTGTCTTTCCTTAATCTCAAGAATAGAGTTAGATAAATGAAAGACGAGACCAGATATGGAAACCTTAGGTACTGGAAGTCTGATTAACTATATATGAACGATAGATGCAGATAGAAAGTCGCATTATTTCAAATTAAAAATTTTTCCCCTGAAAGGAGTTGGATAGATGACTGGCATGACTCCATTGCCAATGGAGTACAGGGGGCAAGACACTTCAATACTAATTTGAGGTGGAAAGCATATATTTTAAATGAAATAAATTAAAAATATGATTGTCACATTGCTGGGCTGCAATTTTTTATGTCACAATAAATAATTACTCATTATTCTGTAAGAGTTTCTTCCTATAACTGCTTCTTTATAGTCTTTATTAAAATACTGAGTGAAGGTAATAATAAAGAGATCTACAAATCTGTATTATGTTGTAAATAAAAATTTATCTTTAAATATAAAGTAATTAGTTTGACAAATTAATTACATGATTCAATAATAGCTAATATATTGTGTCTAGTTAGTTTAGTCATTCTGACTTATTTATGATACTGTTTTTTGGTGTTAAATAATTCTACACGAAATTATAAAATACAGAATCACAGAAATTACAAACTATAGAAGTATCTTCAATAACTCAATGTTATTATCATTAAGTAAAATTTGAAAAAATGCTATGTTAAATTAAAAGAAAGATGGTTTGAAAGTTATTACATGAATCCAAAAAATGAAACTAATCATTAAATAAACTATTATTAAATAATAAAAGTGACACAATCTATGTTGACAGAATGTACTGTATAAATATTTTAAGCTTAAAGAAAATATACGTAACAAAATCAAAACGTAAGATGAAGTAATTATTTTAAACTTTCAGAATAAAGATGCTAATAGATACCTTCTCTCTAATATTTGGTAAAGTGAAACCTATTATTGCTGGAGATTTATGATTGACACCAATTTTTTTAGTTGACATTACTGTCTTGAAAGAATTTACAGAAAGGTATAAAATGACAAATATACAGAATAATATTTTAAAAGACTTAATTCAATAAGTGAAAGTATGTTTACTCCTTTTATTAAGACTTTTTCAACTATGATATATTGAATTAAGAATAATAATTATATATCTTAAACAGTACCCAATTGTACAAATGGTTTCTAGACATACAAAACAATGAATATTTGTTTTGTATTTAGAACAGCTGAAAGCATTTGAGAAAACAAATAATTTTGCTGGTGAAGGCTTATCTAGAGAATTCAGGACAAATAAATATAACTAAAATTGAACAGAACAGTTATGTTTGTATTTATATGCATATATTGTACAGTACATATATAATTAATTTTTTAAAATAATAATAATAATAATAATTTAAATAAGAGTTAAATAAAATTAGAAGTGGTAGCTAGTTTGTTAAATTAATTTATAAAATGATATCTGTACGGCAATATTCATGCTTTTATAATACAGTAAGGGAATTTATGGGGTACAAAGCTAGGATCACTAGTGACTCACTATTCCCTATACAGTGATACCTCGGTTTTCGTCAATAATCTGTCCGAAAACAATCGGCAAAATCCAAAACCAACAAAAACCAAGGCAATTATTTCCATATGAATCAATGTAAATCCAATTAATTCATTCTAGACACTCCAAAATACATACCAAAAACACAATTTATAAAAGAATAAATAGTGTTTAATACTGAAAATGATAATAAATTAATATAAAATGAATGTAAAAGACTAATGTAAAGAATAAATGAACGTTTAACATGACATTCGAAGGACTGCTGGCTGTGGAAACTTTCATTGGTCTTATGATGAAGCTAAAAGGAAGGAAACAATGGAATTATTTGGCTTTTTTAAAACTTTTTCTGCCCTGTGGGCACTAAGAGGACCTCTTTTAGCAAGCCTGTTATGGGGCAGCAGCTGGGTGGTGAGTGACGGCAGGCCCACAATGGGGCGGTAGGTGGGTGGTGAGTGATGGGGCCCAACATATCCGGACAGATCACTTTTGAAAAATTCCTGGAGATTTTTTGACTCGTGTATTAGATCCTGGTTCCCCCAGAGCAGTAGGCTACCACCTTTGACTGCTTGGCCATCCAGCTGTCATAGAGGAGTTGTTTGGCTAAATGCGAGGGGAGGTAATTCTCACACAATGAGAAACAATGCCACACTGAGCAGGAAAACGTGTGGGTCGCCTTTTGTTTTCACAAAATTAGCAGTGAGGTTGCATGGGCATGCCAACAAAATCCGAGGGAACTGACGAAAACCGAGACAAATTTTTTGTGAAAAAATCGACAAAAACCAAAATCAGTGATAACTGAAGTCAACGAAAACCGAAGTATTACTGTATTATTGTAATAGCTACTTGAAATAATATTTGTTCCTTACTACTTTGGAAAGAAACTTTTATTAATGATAAATTCAGTTAACTAAACTATGGGTTTACTAGAGTATACATATCATTTACATTCAAATAGATAAGCAATCATTTAAGCTTCATATTTTAATTGACTGAGTACAATTAAAACAGTGTAAAAGAATCTCTAGTTAAAGAAATCCCATATGTACCAAATAATTTATAGAACTTCTAGAGATTCCTATCCCTAGGCAAAATTCTATGTAGTGAAGGATGAATGCTAATGGTAGTCTAATAGATTATTAATTACTTAATCCTTTTACCTATTTCTAACATACCAATTACTGAGTATTATGAGATATTTAGTACTATGGGGAAAATGAAGTGATTCTGACATACCTAAATTAAAGCCAAATGATTACTGGATTAAATCAGCCTGATTTAATCTAGTAATTATTTGGCTTTAATATAATCATTGGGCTTTAAATGTTTATGTATGGACATACCTAAATATTGTTTATCTGGAAGTAGTGAGGAAGTTGTGAATAATGTCTGTTTAACATTTTTATGAAGCTTAAATTATTGAAAATGCTTACCTTTATGGATTGAGTTCAGATGTGTTCCAATTTCATTCAGAGAGAGTTGTCTATTGGTAAAAGTAAATAAGCACTTTTAATAAATGGTTGTATCAGTTCCAGGAGGTAAGCTTATTGAAATGAAATAGAGGGATTAAAAGTAATGGAGAAGAAAATATATGTCTGAAAATGGAGATTTTCTGGTAATTTATTCAAATCATTTGTTTAATGTTGTCATGGAAAATTCATATACTAACAAATGGATCTTAATATTTGAGTGCATTTAATTGTAATTTGTGTGAAAGATAAGTTAAGGTAAAAAGAAATAAATTGTAATGTTTTCAAAAATGCATTCACTATTTCATATCAGTGTAAGAAATAGCATAAATGGCTAAAATTTTATAAAAGTTTTATGGAAAATGTGATGTCAGTTGAAAGAAAATAATTCTTATAAAATTATATACACAAATAAAGAAAAACGTAGAGAAAACTACCTACTAGGAAGCATTTCATATTGCCTCAGGATTGCATTTAGTCAATAAATGCTTATATATTGACTAAATTATTTCAAATGAAAAAAGAACACATTACACTGGATGACATATAAATTGCACTATAAACCTAATGACTGGTGTTAGTAACACTGGTCATCAGGTTTATATGGAGCTAGACCAGGCAATCAAAAATGAAGTGTATTTCTTGGATATTAACATCCACCCACAAGAGCAAAAGTT